AAAAAAAAACTTCCACACCTAGCCGCATTAGTGCGTTGTGAAGCACATTCATATTCTACGTGAGGATGTAATAACTCAGACGACAGGAGCGACGACCGCGACATACGGAAATTGTCAAAGTTCTCCCACCAGCTGGCAGTGCGTCCCGGTCTGACCCAAAGCTGGTGTCGGTGTCTTTGACGGAGAACATGTCTCAGACGTGGAATGGCAAGGTGGTGGAAAATAACCGTCCTTAACACCGTCCTTCGCCTGTGTTCTTGTATGTGGAGCGGTATCTGGGCCTGGACCAGAGAGGACGCCAACACAGTTTTGAGGGCATCCACGCTGTTTCCAAATGTAAAGACAGGTCGCATATGTGATGTGAAGAACATAGTTTGTCGCAGGCAGTGACGTTTCAAAACCTAAAAGCTGGTTATTGATGTCCACATCGAGACGCATAAATGGAGGATTCACAAATCTTCACTTTGGTCGAAGGTTTTTGAAAGAGTCGTTTTTAATGCTGTAAATCTGCGTTTTCGTGTGGACAACAGGCCGAATCGTAGAGAAATATCTTCGCTTTGTTACGTGTGGACGAGGCCTAAGTCGGTCTGGACTCTGTCAAAGTCGACAGGGTGGTAGTTTCACTTTCCTGAGATGTCACATCCGTCCCTCCGCTGCCTGTATCCTTTCTTTCTGTCGGTCAGTAGAGCAAGTCAGGATTACCACGGCAGGATTAGACACCGGTGACAGGTGACTACACACAGACTGAAGTAACTGTATACTTGGTCATTCTGTCTGGTTGACTAAGCAGATAGGATAACAGCTCTGTATGTCTTCTATACATGGAGAGCTCAGGCTGTGTGAATAGAGTTTACTGTGTCAGCGTCAGTCGAGCATGTAGACCGTTTCCACCCATCTGGACACAGCTTCAGGCAGGTGCAAAGCCTGTTTATGAAGTGTCATTGGTAAAGACGTATACCAGCAACTCCTCAGGCCAGTGCTCACAAAGTCAAACAGTCCTGGAGATGTATTTGTTTGGAAAATGTTTCATAGTTGGTGTTAAATCTTCTGATTCACTCTGTAAAGAAATGTTGCTCACGAGTACATATAAATTCAGGGATATATTTTACAGTTTAAAAAACAATGAATGTCAGTACCCTATTGTGTAATTTGTCTCACTGATAGTGCACTTTGATTTGTGATGTAGCTCAAGCGTTCAAAACCAATATGTTGTTGTTCTACTCAAGTTTAGTATGGACAGTGTAATAGGTTTTATTTAGGTGATGGAAAATTACCTCACAAGACAACATCAAAAGCACAGAAGAAGGACGCCATGAATTAGTGAACTCAGCCCGAGGTGTCATTTCTAAATTACCTTGAAAATAACCTGCAAGTTCCATTTACCCATTGATAAAATGCAGAAACATTAATATTTGTGGTAAACAAGTGTATCAAGAGAAAAGTTTCTTTTTATTCAGTATCGATAATGATTGATCATATTTTACTAAAGACCAGGAGACAAAAAGATTTAATTTGAATTTCATCACCATACTTTGGTACTGTGGTAAATTTTACCACTTAATCCTATTTGTGACGTTACACTGGTAATTTAAATTAACACAAAAAACAAACACAAATTTACATGCATAGATAAAAATGACTGAGGATAAAGGAATGATCTCAGTATGATTGTTTAATGTTTTGGAGATGAAACCAGTTTTTGTAGCTGGTCGGGCTAACATGTAATACCGCTACCTTTGTTATATTTTCTCCCTTGTAACTCCAGAAATGTTGTGGGGCTCGGATATAAAAATAGCCTTGCAGCCAGATGAGAGTAGACAGCTGTTTTGTTGGCAGTTGTCTCAGGGAACCCTCTGGACACCATCAGTGTCCCTCGTGAGTCCCGTGACCCTAATTTAGCAACCAGTGCTTAAAATCTCTCAGTATGGAGCTACAGCAGACCCTGACACTGCCTGAATGTTGTCTTTTCAGCCCTGCCGGCTGCAGTATTACTGCTGGAATATTTTGTCTGCGACTGACTGTGAAATTCCTGCCAGTCACAACAAATCCTGGCAGAATTTTAGGTTTAGGTGAGAAGTAGCGAGGGAACAAGAAGAACCCTCAGAGAGCTGCACAGGCTGAAATCCAAGCAGGAGTCGAACTTTAAAATGTGCATTCTTGGTTTGGAGCTTGACAGGGGTGATGTTCACCATCGGCTCAAGTAGAACAAACTTCATTTCTTATGTAACGGACAATATAGGACGAAAGTGGTGATTTTTTTTTAGTCAAGAGTTGGAATAGTGGAACAAAAAATCAACATCTTGGCATCTTACACCTTTGCTTTGGTTGATTTTCCACGTAGACATGAAACACATTTTTAACAAATGTCAAAATTAAATAGTTTCTGCTGTAAAATTCAAGACACTTAAAGGTAACAGGAAAATAAACAGAAAATGTCAATATGTTAGTGATACACCCATCTTGTTCATGTGCTGATATGTAATCGTGTGAGGTTTAGGTGGACACACGTGAACATACAAAAAATAATTACACAGAAATGTAGAGAACTGGAATATGATGCCTGCAGGAGAGCTGTGAGGTACAAGAGATTTGATTCCATGCAAGTCGAGGCAGATTTATACACCAGACAATTTTCCACACATGGATTTTCTGAAAGATTAATACAGTAAACCTCTTGCATGAGATGAGGTTTTGGAAAGATTATGACATTATAAATGCTTTCATTTCAAAACACTCTGTATCATCATATCTAGAAATGACTTCCTGCCTGACGTTTACCAGCAGCAGCCGCTCGCTGTCACACATTCTGTAAACGCTCATTATTTCAGCCCCAAAGTCTCTACCTTGTTTAAAAAAAATGCTGCAAAATGAGTTCTAAATTTAGCTTACCCTAAATGTTCTTGTGCTTAAATGTGAGTTGGGATGTTGTGTTTTTCCTAAACCTCAACCTATTACTCCACTTCAGAGATCCACACAGTTCCTGGAGTCGCTCCTTTTCTGATAATTTTCTGCGTCTCCTATTTATCGCAGGTTTGCCGTTAGCTGTTCACCGGAGGCATTCAGCCGGTCACCTGCAGGACTTAATCACACAGCGCTAAATCCCTGCAGCTAGTAAACCTGTCAGCCCCATGCCGTGTGCATGCCTGGCTAGCTGCGAAGCGTGGGCTGGCTAACAGATTTAGCAGCGTGGAGCTAAGAGGCTAATGGCGCAGTGTTAGGGGTTAAATCTGTATTATCCCCTCTCTGGTGGACCAGCAGAGACAGAGGACAGACAGGGTGACTGGGTTCAGGAAAATAAAGAGAAAGAAAGTGGAATTCGGGCCTCTGTTCCAACTGGGTTTCCTGCATTTTTAATTCAATAACCAGAGCAGCACACCAGCAGCTGTTGGTCACAGATGTAACCCAAGGTCAGAGCCTGCAGCACGGACCAGACTTGGATTACATAATCAATCAGCTGCTGTTACAAAATGCAGCTATAGAAGCTGCTTATACCCCCTGAAGGTAAACAAAGGGAAGATCTGCACACCAAGATTTTGAAGCCGTCTTTACTTGTTATAGAATTAACAGAGTGTGTGTCCATCAGCATGTTCGGGGATTTACAGCTTCAAAGATTATCTGGTTAATTGATTAGTCAGTTGACATAAAATTTGGTGTCAAATGATGAAAGGGTTGCATATAAACTGAACGTTTTGATAGGCTCAGAGAAGAAGCTGCAGTTTCAAAGAGAATCATTCACAGCTGCCTGACGGTGACATTAGTTTGCTTGTATTTGGCCTGACTTCTCTCTGTTTGTTTCTGTATGTTGATGATCAGCCTCTGTCCTCGTGAAGCTCACAAAGCCAGAAATAACACAAGTCAGTCAGCTGTTGACTGTCTCCACACTGTTCAGAGAAAATCAGAAGACGTTTTCTAAAGGACAAAAGAGTCACACATAGAGCTGCATCCATTAGTTAATTACCAGACCAGACCGGTTGTTTAGGTCCATCATGATGCAAAAATTCTAACCTGAATATAAATGATTGTTCTTTCTTTCAAGAGCCTTCACTCATTTTATTTGACATTCTTCATTTGTATATTTATGTTTTAATTCAACCTCACTGCCTCATCTCTGTTGCATAATTCCTGCCTCTGTTTTTTGTGCTCTGTGTACATTTCATTCCATTGGGCTCTTTTTGTCGTCCTCCTGATTTTCATTTAGATCCAGTCACTAATTCATTTCAGTTGAATCCATTAATCCTCACTGGCTGGAGCGCTCATACTGCTGCTGCAGTACTCCTACATATTCGCTATAATTCAGATTTTCTCTCTCTCTCAAAACACAGTCAATTTTTATTTCTTTTAAGTTAAGTGTTCTTGTCATCAGAACAAAGAGATAAGTGTTAAGATATGATGCAGTCAAATGTACCACATCATCATAATGTTTATTTGTTTTAGAAGTGTTTCTGTTGAATGCACTGCTACATTAAAATACATAAATATTTCAATATTTATTGCCCATCTGTATTATTACTTTTCTGTTTATATGTTATATATGAAAATCACAGCACTAAGAAGAAGACTACAGAACAGTTTTAATACAAATACTTAAATGATAGCTTTGTCTCTCTCATTAAGGCCAGAAGCTCTTCAGGATTATTGATATGAAATAGATTCGAGCTTTGAATTAACACCTTAGTAACGCGTAAGAAATCCTGCTACGGTCAGACATGTACAATTCACTGTAAAAAATAATCCTGTCAAAAAACTGTGAAAAGCTGATCGTCAATGTGCCAGAAAAAAATATAGTAAAAAAGACGAGAAGACTGTTGCATTCAAAAACTGCAAAACAGGGAAAATCTGTAAGATACTGGTAAACTGTTTATGAAATTACTGCTGAAAAACCTTTTTTAAAAATTATTATTATTCTTTTTACAGTGAGCAGTTTTAGATTTCAATAAAGTTCTGAATCTGAATCTGAATCTGAATTTAATGCTGTTTATTGTTTTGTGTGTTTGCTGCAGGCCAGTTATCCTACATGGGAGGACTTTGTAACCAAAGGAGCAAAGCTACAATCGCAGCTCAGGTAAGATCACATGCACACATATTTGAACTGTGAGTCATCTGTATTCTAACTGACAATAATATAAATCATGCATTTCATAGAGGAAATGGTTTAGCCACAGCGATGAACCAGATCTTGAATCATTTCATTTTGGTGATTAGTTCCATTAGTAGATCAAAGACTGCTGCTCTGATGTGCTCTAATTTTACTTTGTTTACGCTGATAGTTCATACTGCTCTAGTGTTTTAGGACCCCTAACCTCGGGTCTGTAATTTAATCTGGATATAGCGGCTTTTGGATACAGTGGCACAGACGCTGATGTTGGGCTTCTGGTTGGTCTTAACTGTCACTACGTGTTGCATCCTAATTGGTTGTGCTCCTATCACATTTTCTGGAGAGAACAAGGGCAGCCTTGACTACCAGTGGTTAATCCAACATCAATAACGAATTACAGACATTGCTGACATTGTTGTCTATCCTAGCAGCTGTTGTGCAGCTAATCGCCATTACCGATCTTCCTCCAAAGTATTTTCTACAACTAATTAGCAAACCTGAGAACAAGTTCTTTAAACAGACTGTTCAACCACATTAGAAGTCCAAATTGTTTGTCGTTGTGCTAATGGCCACACTAGAAGAGGAGCGAGGACAGGAGATACAGTGTGGTTCAAAACTGTCTACAACAACGCACATTTGCTGACGACCACTTCAGTGAGTTATTGGTTGTGTTGCATTGGGGTGTTTGCATGAAAAGTGTCTCAGGTAGTTGGCTACTGAATCAAAAAAGAGCTCAAAAGTATACAGGGCCAAGCTCCTGTGGCTTCCATACAGCTGACCAGTCACAGTGTGAAGTGGGTGTGATTGTCAGGTCGTTGGTTTTGGAGAGATGTAAGGTATCGGAGAAGCTTTCTGAGCATCTAGCATCAAGTTTTGATGGACCATATATCCTGCTTAAATTAAAAGACTGAGTACTACTCTCTCTAAATTTACTGTTTCTCTATGAATTCGTGTTCGATGATGATACTAGAATCGCTGAAATGAGGCGTCCTCACTTCATAGCACTGTGGAAAACTGCAGCTGATAGAAGTTTAGCTTTATATTCATCAGTCCGTGTGTATTTAGTGTTCTGCGTTTGTGTTAAACAGAATATTCGAGACTTTTCAATGCTAGCTGGTGCTTCATTGTCTGCTAAATGTCCTTATTCAACCTCTTCTGGTTATTGTTCCGTTCTGTACTTGACATGAAAGCTGCACATGTTCTGATTGTGAGACTCACATACAAAGTGATCCAGTAGCTGACTCAGTGTAATAACAATATAATGACTGTATTTCCCAGTAGGCCAGTTTACCTTGATAAGCATCATGCTGCCTGCTGCAGCCAGTCACAGTCCATTAGCCCTGCCAGTCAGCCAGCTAGACACGCACGCACACACACACACACACACACACACACACACACTGAAGCAGGCACAAATAGGACATCCATGCTGTCCAAACCGCTCTCATGTTTAATGCTACTTAAAAGATCTGCTGTGGATAATTTGCACACGTTAAGCTTTAATCCAGACATTAAAGTCCACAGTCATATTTCTTTCTTTCATATACGAGACATACATTTTTTTTAAAATTATTATTATTTTAGCAGTTTATTATTTTAGCAGAATGATTTTTATTGCGCTTCAGTGCTTGTAAAGTTAAGGCCAGTGGTGTCCGAGCCTGAAACCAA